TCAATACAAAGCAAATTCTTAAGACAATTTATAATGAAAGTGATAAGAAATAAGGAACAACCTGTCATTTTGAATGTGTATGTCACACTTGTATGCTACCCTTTGATTAATCTGCTTTGGCTCTAAACATTGTGTCACATCCCAACTCGATTTCACCATAGCACGATATTGTCCGCATTGGGCCACGCCCTCGCGGATTTGTTCTTAGGTTTCGGCCCGAGGGTCACCCATCCTAGGAGTGCTCTCGCCCAAACTCGCTTAACTTCGGAGCTCTTATGGGATCCGAAGCTAATGAGTTCCCAAAACGCGTCTTGCAATAAGAGATGAGCATGTGCATATGAGGCATAGATGATCCTCTCCCCTGGGCAATGTGGGACACTACAGTCCACCCCTCTCAGGAGCCTGACATCCCCGTTGGCACACTTCCGGCCAAGGAGTGGCTCTAATACCAAATTGTCACATCCCAGTCCACATAACAAGATATTGTCCGCTTTGGGCCACACCCTCACGAATTTGTTCTTGGGTTTCGGCACGAGAACTTCCCAGGGGTCATCCATCCTAGGATTGCTCTCTCCTAAACTCACTTAACTTCAGAGTTCTTATGGGATCCGAAGCCATTGAGTTCCCAAAACGTGTCTTGTAATGGGAGGTGAGCATGTACATATAAGGCATAAAGAATTCTCTCCCCTGTGCGATGTGGGACTCTACAGTAATTGCCACAACCTAGCTTGACTCTGTCGTAGCATGATATTGTCCACTTTGGACCACGCCTTCATAGATTTGTTCTTGGGTTTTCGGCACGAGAAGTTCCCAGGGGGTCACCCATCCTAGGACTGCTTTCGCCCAAACTCACTTAACTTCGGAGTTCTTATGGGATCCAAAGCCAGTGAGTTCCCAAAACGCATCTTGCAATGGGAGGTGAGCATGTACATATAAAGCATAGAAAATCCTCTCCCTTTGGCGATTTGGAACACTATAGTCCACCCCTCTTAAGGCCCGGATGTCCTTGTTGGCACACTTCCAGCTAAGGAGTGGCTCTGATACCAAATTGTCACATCCTAGTCCGCATAGCAAGATATTGTCTGCTTTGGGCCACGCTTCACGGATTTGTTCTTAGGTTTCAGCACGAGAACTTACCAAGAGGTCACCCATCCTAGGACTGTTCTCATCCAAACTCGCTTAACTTCGGAGTTCTTATGGGATTCGAAGCTAGTGAGTCCCCAAAACGCGTCTTGCAATAGGAGGTGAGTATGTACATTACCCAAGGAAGAGGATCCTCTATGCCTTATATGTACATGCTCACCTCCCATTACAAGACTCGTTTTGGGAACTCATTGGCTCCGAATCCCATAAGAACTCTGAAGTTAAGTGAGTTTGGGCGAACGCAGTCCTAGGATGGGTGATCCCCCATGGAAGTTCTTGTGTCAAAACCCAAGAATAAATCCGTGAGGGAGTGGCCCAAAATGGACAATATCGTGCTACGGTGAAGTCGAGCTGGGATGTGACACATTGTATTGCAGTGAGATGACGAATGACATCTTGCAATTTAACAGGTAAATATAAGCATGTTACTAAAATAATTTATCCAAAATAAACATTAGTGTTCTTAATCTGTATATCTGGATACACACAGAATGTCAACTTTGTTCAAGCGTGAATAAAGGTGTTGTAATCCTGTAAGAAAAACCGGTGTCGGGGATGGGCGGAAACACATTTGATAGCTTTTTGAAGTTTGTTTTACCACTGAAAATAAGTTGGGTCTCATACGGCACCACCTTGTACTGCCCTTTAATTCTAGCCGTCTGAAAATTTATGATTTCATAGCAACCAAGCCATAGTCTCATAGTCAATGTTTGATGTGGAGCCTTGAACCGCATGTTTCTTTATAATTGGTTATGCAAATAAAGGCAACCAACCAAAAAAAAAAAAAAAAAAGGGCGACAAAGTTAAAAGGAGATTAATAAACGGATTAAAATAAATATTATATATCGATATGGATACATTAAATTTTTAACATGGAGAGATGCAGTAACATCGAGAGATAGAATGGATGAAAATAATTAAATCACCCAAACCAACATTTTAAAATTTTAAAAACAGAAAAATATAAAAAAAAAGTTTAAACAGAGCGTAAAGTTCGTCTAAAAATATTTATTTCCCATGTTTAATTGGAGTCTGAATACATTACAGGATATTGCTCGAAAAAAATTACATCTCATTCATTATATGGAATCAAACAATGATGTAAAATTAATGATAGAATATATATCAATGTGTTATGATCATCTATATATATATATTTAAGATTCACTATTGAATACATTAAAAAGTATGATAAACAACAATATTAATTGGCAAATCAATCATTCTTGTTATAATTCTTGATCAAAATAATAAAACAATATTTTCTCATCGTCTCATCGAGCAAAATGCAGTGCAGAGATGTGTATTTCTGAGTAGTTCCTGAAACTGTTGATTTCCATATTCTGCACACGCAAGCTTTGATTTTCTCAACTTCTATATACGGGCGTAATTCATAGATGAGAGTTATTTATGCGTCTTTCATTTCGTCTCTGCTTAAACCAAACATAAGTTTTATGAGCTAAAGAATTGTTATAACCAAGTCTTAGAATAAATAATTAAATAAGTAACAATATTAATCAAATTGCTAAGCAGCATATATATAGCCAATAAATCAGATAAATTAGATATTTTTTGTATATTTAATATATTAGAGTATAAAACTTAGACCACATGTGTAACCTTTAGGCACTTTAGCGAACATTTTTTGAGCATAAACAGACTAAATAATAATGTTATGCAAAACTAACATAATAAGAATAAGTCACAAAAATACATGACCATAAGAGAAATTAAAAAACAAAGAAAAATGAAAGCAAATCAAAGAACCTCAACTAATTGGACTCCTAATTTCTTTAAATCCAAAACTAACAGCTCATTCTAAACCACAGCAATAAATAAAAAGCTTTACAACACATTCTAATTAAAATCTAAGGAAAAAAAAGTTTAGTTTTTTCCATTTTAAAATCGAAGAAACAAAACCCACAAATTTAAATAACCATGTGAATCTTACCCTCTAATGTTTAAAAAGCACATAAACTATCCAAGATGTTGTTCTCCCTTTGCAAATGCAACCTGCAAAACAAATCAAGCAACCAAAAAACAAACGAAAGGGTAAGCAACAAAGCTCAAAAACCCTAGCACAAAAACGTCATAAAACAGGATAAAAATAGCCAAAAAAACATTTAAACTATGATTAACCCTCTTAGCACCAACCAGAACCCGAAACCCAGGCAAAACCCCAAATCAGTTTAAAAACAAATTACTCCAAAAAGCTGATATCACAATAAAAGAAATCTAAAGTGCTATCGTTTTTTTTTTTTTTTTTTACCAACGAAAAACATGACAGCAACACAAAAAAAGACCACGGATATTGAACAAAAAATTGTGAGCAGCGGAAGAAAAAATAAACAGCAAAACAAAATTACCTCTGAGAACGACATAGAATGACAGAGAAGAAAGCGACAGCAAGAAGAGAAATGAAAAGCAAGGAAAAAAAAAGCAAACAAACCCAACAAAGAACTCAGCGATCATCGACACTTGGCAGCAATGATACACATCTTTCCACCGAAAAATAAAAAATAAAAAACACAAATTTGGAACATGCAGGGAAAAAAAAATAGAAAATGGGAGAGAGAAACAAAAGCTAAGCATGGATAGAGAGATGGTGCCTATCCATCAGAAAAAAATAATTAAAAAACACAACATCATAGCATCTGGAACATGCAGGAAGAATTTGGATCCTCTCCTGAGCTAATGGAGAGGAACTTCTTGGCTAATTATTGTAGGTTGTTAGATTTTTATCTAACGGCTACAAATATAAAGGCTTCTTTAAAGTTATAATAATTATAGTCATTAGATGAAAATCCAACGGCCTTTTATCCAACAGTCCATAATGATTGGTCAGGAGATCCTCTCCATTGACTCAGGAAAAGATCCAAATCCATGCAGGAAAAAAAATGATACAAAAGAGGAGAGAGAAACAAAAGTTGAGAATGGAGAGAGAGAGAGACAAACAGAAAGAAGGGGGAAATAAATATACCAGAAGAACCGGCGATGACAAACACGTGGGAACCAAGGGCAAATCCATCATTTCAATTTGCAAGAACTTGAAAAAGGCACCACCATAAGCAATTGGAGGGGCGTTTTCGGCACTTTACTGTTAATGAACAGTAACGCCGAGTTTGGATTTTACAAGGTATAAATTTGCACCTTTGATGTTTTCAACCCTAACAATGGTCGATCATTGTAGGAAACCAAACTCAAGTTTCATGTTTTCTAACAAATAAATGTAAACAAGTATGTAGAGTCTAAGCACCTATAGAATTTTATGCGATTTACTACCATATAAACAAATAGAAATTTCGCATAAAACTTGTATGTGCATAACGTTCATCTTTTTAAAGATAGATGATATCATGTCAATAAATTTTGTTATTGTCTAGGATGATTGTATATATAAGCAGATATTACAATATATAGCAGTAACAACTTATCTATTCACACTATCTAGGGTATACTTCAGTGATAGATCCTTCATAAATGGATCGAGATGACTTGCTGATAGATTGAGCAAAGTCCAGTGTTGCCTCTGACATGTCTCCCATTGCTCTACTTTGAAGGAAAAATGCCAGTTGTTGAGGTGATGGCAGAGTAAGAGAGTAGCTACTGAGCATGAGAACTACCGATCCAACAATTCCAAAGGTGCCACATCTCTCCATAACTTCCAAGCCTGCATAAAATTCAAAAGTTTAATTCATGACGCTATGTCAATGCAGGAGAAAAGAACACTACACTTTTCATTTTAAGCTTACATGGCTCATGAGGTCCTCAGCTGCATCGCTCTGAAAGAAGTTACTGTTCTTCTTGCCACTGATGATTAAACACCGAAACTATACAGATTGAACTTGACAGAAAAATGTCCATGCATTGCATACTAGGGAGACATATAACCACTACAAGGAGCATAACCATCTGTATAGAAATTATGACAAAGATGTAACGAGAAAACATTTTAGATTCAATTTGATAGTTGCAAAACAAAAGTGGTCGTGAGAAAAGAATGAAATAGGTAACATACTATGTTTCGATTTCTATTTGTGTTTTCTTGAGTTTGATTAACCCCAAAGATGCCAGAATCAGATATTTTTGGATGCATCTCCCCATCTAACAATATATTGCTGGCTTTGAGATCACGATGTATAATTCTAGTCAGGAATCTTCATGTAGGTACATGATTCCTCGAGCAATTCTTGAAATAATCTTGTAACGTCTTGACCAATCCAATTTCCCTTGTTTCTCAGGGTCTGCAAATCATCAAAATCAAGTTATCATCGACGAACTGCTATTGCAATAGGGAAAGACTATCAGATGTCTGAGTGTAAAAACCAAATAGGAAACAGTCGAGGCTTTTGTTGAGCACAAATTCATAAATAAGATTCTTTTCTTGGCCTTCCAAGCAGAACCCAATAGCCTAACCAGATTTCGCTGTTGAAGCTTGGCTACCAATACCATCTCGTTCTTAAACTCTTTTGAGCCTTGGCCAGAGTTCCTTGATAGCCTCTTCACAGCTACTTCTTGACCGTTTGAAAGTATACGCTGCGAGAAAACTTCAAGCAAACAATGGAATGTCCACTCATGGCATTCATGGACAGTTTCTGAGGGTCCAAAATTATTCAGATTTTACAAGCATAAAAGTTGGAACTTTGTACACCTCAAGGAGCCTCATATCATTGGAGAATTTGCTCGTGGCTGCTTGGATGGTAGCAAAATCAAATTGCAAAGACTCGACAGTAGTAATGTCATTCTCACCTGCACAACAAACCAAACCATAGAAGCATAATGTTTATAGACGAGGAATAAATGAAAGGAGAATCAACGAGACTAAACAAGAGGAAAATTGCAGAAGAATATATTTGTTTACCTGCTGCTGCTTGATTGTACTTCTTTCTTGCTCACCTAGTTATGCAGCAGTAAGCAACAACAAAAAGGAGCACAGATACAGATATTGGTACAACCATGGCAACAATTGTAAGAGTTGGGATTTTGCTTTCCTGTAAAATAAACAAAAAATATTGAGAAATTGGTAAAATCAACAGCCACAGGACAACACCATATTCCCCTGTTCCAAAGTCCACAATAGCTATCAACTACCCAATAAACTAATCTGATTGTAGAATTTCTGATTCTCATTAACTTCTGTAAGGCTGCTATACATCGTTTTATACAGTAGGAATACAAGAGTCCTATCTTATCTAAACAATTACATTTGAAGTTCAAATTACAAATCAAATATAAACTGATAAATAAGATAATAAGGAAAATTATCTCTAACTAACTACCCTTGCTAACATTCCCCCGCAAACTTGACTCCGGGGAGGAGACAACGTTTGAACACAACGTCTGAAAGCGTGCTTTAGGAAGCCCTTTGGTAAAAACGTCAGCCAACTGTGAGAGGGAGGGCAGAAACTGAACTTGATGAGTTCCAGATGCAACACATTCCCGAACGAAATGATAATCCAAACCAATATGCTTCGTGCGAGTGTGAAAAACTGGATTTTATGCCATATATGTCGCACTTAAATTGTCACAATGCATCAAAATTAGGGAACGAAGGGGCACCCGAAGTTCACGTAACAAGCTCATTATCCATATGGTATCTGCACATGCAACAGCAAGAGCCCGATTCTCCGCTTCGGCACTTGAACGTGAAACTGTCTGTTGCTTTTTGGTGCACCAAGAAATCAAGTTACCGCCCATAAATATGCAAAACCCAATGGTAGACCGACAGGTGTCCAGACACCCCGCCCAATTAGCATCCGAATATGCAACAAAACGAAATGGTGCAGGGGAAGGATTGAAGCATAAGCCCTTGCCCACAGTGCCCTTGAGGTATCGTGATATTCGTTTCACAGCGTCCATATGAACAGGAGAACCCATGAACTGAGAGACAGTTTGCATTGCATACGAAATGTCCGGACGAGTGAGTGTTGGTATTGAAGGGCTCCAACAAGTTGGCGATAAGATGAAGCATCAGGGAGTGGAGACCTGCATGAACAGAGAACCGCTGTTTGGCAGCCACCGGAGTGGAGCATGGTTTACATTCAAGGAGATTGCTCCGCTTCAAAATCTCCAAAGTGTATTGTTTTGGGTTAAACAAACACCAGTAGACAAATATGATACTTCAATACCTAAGAAGTAATATAACTTGCCCAGGTCTTTAAGTTCAAACTCACGATCCAACGGTCGATATGAAAGATTTAATCAAAGTAGGAGAATTACCCGTGACCAAATATCTGTTGGTATTCACCTGAGTTTGCTTACTCAATACCAAAATATGTGGGTGATAAGTTTACAAACTCTATCACACCTCTCACTTTCACTCTCAATAAAATTGTACTAACAAATGGAGAAGGGATAGGAAATAACAAGCTTCCACGAAACAAGCTTTCTTGATATATGAAATAAAAGGCAGTTTACAAACTGATGAAAAAAGACAGAAGCTTACAAGCTTATGAACCTGAGAGAATACAATCAGAAAATGGGATTCGGATGGGATGATGCTAAAGCCTAGCAAGGAGGCTTATTTATACAAGCCAAACAGCAAAGAACCACTCAAGTGCTTTAAATAAAAAAATACAACAACACATACAATCATTCAAACAGATTAGAACAATCTGGCGCACACACATGCAACGACAGATGGTGATTACCATCTTTACACCCTTTCACATATGCACCAGCTGCTAGACACTTTTACACACATGCTCTGCATCATTCCTTGCTGTCTTTCAACACCTTTCGGCTAGCACATGAAGGAGACTTTGTTCTTTGTAGCTGGAAAGAAACAAACAGCTAGCAGCAATATTTTACAACCTGTTTTGATTTGAATTTCCAACAATATCATCCACTTAGAGAAGGAACACCAGAATTATAGAACCCGGAAGCTTTGGAGAAACCCGGAGTGAATCAAGAAGGAGCTAAGACGCTGAAACCAAGCACGGGAGGCTTGCTTAAGTCCATATATTGCCTTGTTAAGCTTACGGACATAATTAGGACGATTCGGATCGACAAATCCAGGTGGCCGAGTCATGTAAACTTCCTCCATCAAGGAACTATGAAGAAAAGCATTCTTCACATTAAGTTGATGAAGGGCCACCCAAAGGAGATAGCAAGACTAAGAACGGTACGAATCGTTGTCGGTTTTACCACGGGACTAAAAGTCTCTGAAAAATCAACACCAACCTGCTGATGAAGCCGTTGGGACTAAAAGTCTCTGAAAAATCAACACCAACCTGCTGATGGAAGACTTTGGCAACGAGACGTGCCTTATGATGCTCAATCGAACCATCGGAATTGCACTTCAACTTGAAGACCCATTTACAAGCAACGGTGTTGGCATGAGGTACATGAGCGACAAGAGACCACGTCTGTTATTTAAGTAGGGCATTAAATTCATCTACCATGGCCTGTCGCCACGAGGGAGAGCGGGATGCTTGGCTGTAGCAAGAAGGTTCAGAATCCTCCTCTACCAGCGCCGTAAAAGCTTGAGGAAGTGGGTGGCGAGAGGCAAAATAGGACCTAACTTTGGGTTTGAATATCCCTGATTTGGACCCCATGTGTGGGCCAAGAGGTGGGGCCTGAACTACTGTAGATGGTAGTGGGTCGGTGGAAGGCAAAACAGGCTGCACAGTAGGAATTAATGCACGGGAAGGTGGATCTTGTGCAGTGCCAAGGTGTAACACTGCTGATGAAGGCAGCGTCGGTGAAGAGGTGGGCAGTGGGGGTCCTGAAGGTGTAGGTGATGGCGCCACATGCATCACAGGAACAAAAATTACTATACGTTAATCTTACAAGCAAAGCTTGTCTAATTATTCTATGTTCATCAACCTTTAATATGGCAAATATATACATAAATAAACAGAAAAAGGTTAACACACAGTAAAATTTTTTTAAATAGATAAAAGTCATGCATAAAATAATTCAAAAACTGAAATATGCAATGAGTTGCTTTTGAAAAGAATTAAAAGCACTATTAGAGTATGTAATTATTGTCACGAATAACTATTGTTAGGAAATAAATAGTATTGGTTAATGAAGTAAATAAATAAATAAAAAATGCATGGACTAATAGTGAGATGAATATAAAAATAAATGAAATATAGGGAATAATTGGTTTGTACCCACAAGAGTTACCTAGGCTATAGTCCAGGATAGCCTTGTACTTGGCTCCGCCCTTGTTCTAAGGGGTCCACACGCTGAGTGGTAGCAAGAGAATCATAGGGGAATACGTCCTCATTGAAGACAACATGCCGAGATAAATAAACTTTCCCAGTAGCAAGATGTAAACAGCGATATCCCGTGTATTGCTCATTGTATCCAAGACAAACACAAGCCAAAGATCTAGATTGTAACTTGTTAGTTGTGTAATCACCCAAATATGGAAAACAAGCACATCCAGAACTACGAAGAGCAAGGTAATCCGGATCATGCCCAAACAAAGTGTGATACGGAGAAGCCCACTTAAGTACAGGTGTAGGCAAACGGTTGATTAAATAAAGTGCAGTGGTAAGAGCTTCGGCCCAAAGATTGTACGAAAGCTTTACAGCAAGTAAAAGAGGGCGACCCATTTTAGTGATATGGCAATGCTTGCGTTCAGCAAGGCCTTTTTGTTGTGGTGTATGAGGGCAAGAAAACTGATGATGAATCCCTTTTTGCGCACACAATTGTTTAAATGAGGAATTATTAAACTCCCGACCCCCATCACTTTGAAATTGTTTAATAGCCTTAGAGAATTGGTTTTGAACATATGATAAAAATTGTCTAAAATGGTTGAACACCTCAAATTTATGACACATCGGAAAAATCCAAGTATAATGCGTAAAATCATCTGTAAATAAGACATATTATCGAAAATCAGAAACAGAAGCTACCGGAGACATCCAAACATCAGAATGAATTAAATCAAAAGGATACATGGAACAATGGTCTGAAGAATTAAGTAACAAACGATGGGATTTAGACAATGCGCAACTATTACAAAATTCATTATTTGAAACAAAAAAGGAAGGCCCTAACAAATTAATAGACGTTAAAACAGTAAGAACTTGACGAGACGGATGCCCAAGACAACGATGCCACAAGAAGGGCGACGTGAATTGTGAAGAAAAGGCATGAACTTGAAAAAACCTACTCCTAGGTGCACGATCAAGTTTGATAGGATAAAGACCATCCTCACATGGGTCCTGAAACAGAATAACACCAGTTTTTAAATCACGAATGACAAAACCCCGAAGGTAAAAACGTTAAACCAACCCAATTGTCCCTTGTGAACTTAGCAACAGATAACAAATTTTTACGAACGGCAAGGACATGTAAAACTTGAGACAAACGAAAAAATAAAGGACACCGACTCAAAGGAAACATTATCAGTGTGCACAATAGGTAGAGTGTCACCATTACCAACAAATCACCTGACCATTTTGACCATCCCCAGTAACAGATGTCATAGAACAAGCATCATTGGTCATATGATGGGTTGCACCGAAATCCGGATATCAATACGGATCAGTAGATGAGGCAACATGCATTCCTGCAAAGGCCCGAGATAAGTCATCATCTCCACGAGCAGTTTGAAGGCACTGTATAGCAATATGACCATATTGGTGGCACGCCTAGCACTGAGGACCACGAGAATTGGGAAAAGGACCAAGAAGTCCAAGAGTAGAGGAGTTACCACGTTGAGCCCCACGACTGTTACGCCCCAAGCCAGTGCCACCAACGGCCGGAGCCTGGGCTTGACGACCATTGCCACCAAGTCTGCCAAACCCACGGAAACCACCATTACCACCAGGTTGTCGAGAAGGTTGCCCACCACCATTATTATGGCCCCCTGATGGACCATTCTCACTAGTATGAGCAGAATATAACGCCTGAGGAGCAGATGCAGGCGTTTCAAACAGTCTGCTGTGACTCAAAGAAAAGCAGCTGAGAACGCAGTTCATTGAATGCCGGGAAGGGAGGAAAATTAGTTAGCATCACCACCATCACACTGTACTCCGGTCCTAAGCCACGAAGTACATAAGACACCAAATCTTCATTGGCAATGAGTTGTCCAATGGATGCCAATTGATCAGCAATGGTCTTAGCTTGTCCAAGATAATCCGCAATGGATTTTGTCCCCTTTTGAAGTGAAAACAATTGAAACCGATAGTGAGTGGCATTAGCAAGAGATTGTTGTGAAAATTCTGGAAAAGATGCTCCCAAATTTCACGAGAAGTAGAAAGCCCAACGGTCAAAGAAAGGATCTGCTCAGTGAGAGTGGCTCGAAGCATACTGACAAGAGTCTGGTCAGTTTGATACCAGGCAAGATACTCGGGGTTTGGAGAAGTGGTGATCACTGGCGGAAGAAAAGTAGACTCATCAGAATCTGCAGATGCAGTAGGAGAGGCAACTGGAGCAGTGGTAGTGATGACCGGAGGACACGGGTATGAGCCATCGACAAAACACCAGAAATTCTGGCCAATCAAAAATGGTTTCACCTGACTCTCCCATGGGAGATAATTGGTTTCAGAAAGTTTGACAGAGACCAAGGTAGAAATATTGGGAATGGTGATTGAGGAAGAAGAGAGTGCGGAAGAGGTTGCGGAAGCCATGGAAAAAATATCAAGGCTCGATACCATGTAGAATTTCTGATTCTCATTTACTTCTGCAATGCTGGTATACATCGTTTTATACAGTAAGAATACAAGAGTCCTATCTTATCTAAATAATTACATTTGAAGTTCAAATTACAAATCAAATATAAACTGATAAATAAGATAATAAGGAAAATTATCTCTAACTAACTACCCTTACTAACACTGATGATAGAAGAATCACTTGATTGGGACTTCTAAAAAGTTTTAAAATGTTTGTTCACTTTACCTTTAGGCGGATGAAGAGTAGCCCTTGGTGCAGGCTCAGGGGTTGTGGCGTTCTGGGCGTAGAAGGGGTAGATTGCATACCTAACGTTACAACTCGGAAGCAGAACTCGTGCTGTTTGCTTGCTTTCCGTTACAACAAATCCGCAATTCCGCTATGGCAACCCTAAAGCACCGGTGGCAAGCAGCCACGGACAGGTCCTGTGTGCACTGTCCAAGGTTGTACAGGTCAATCAGATCACTAACGTTCTTTTTTTTTGTTGCAAACTTGTCGGCATCTTTGGCAGCCTCGGTAGCGACCTCGTCCATACTCGTCTCCAGCACCTATTTGACCGAGTCTGGTCGGTGGCATTACCCATGTCCCACATGTACAGGGGGCGACTCGGCGGTGGTGGAGAAGAATTGACTCGTTGGAGTATCGTAGCATGCAGTCATCGTACCAAATCACCACCTGTCTTTCTACGGGGCAGAGTTGTGGGGCCTCGGAGATTGCGGTGGCGACACAGGTTTCGCAAGCGTCGGTGTCCACGACGTTGCGGCGGAAGAAGTAAAGGCCGTAGCTGTTGATGGATAAGCATGGAAGCTGGATCACAGGTGCATTGCAGCTGATGAAAGGAAGAAGATGATGAAGGTCGAAATGTTATAAGTGTTAAGAGTGGTTGATATTCAAATAATGTAATGAACGGACAGGATTATAATATCTCAATGGTGTGTATCTTGCCATGTGTCTAGTTTGTTAGAAGTTAAATGAAAACATGTGAGTTGCACATGATCACAGTTACGCTGCAAACGTGTGTGTGTGTGTGCGGGTAGCAATGGTTATAAATCCCAAAATGTATGCCGACTTTGGTGGATTGAATCCAACGTAGATTCGGGGAGCAACGTACTGCTCTCTCAAATTTCATTTTTGATATTCAATCTTTGAATCCATTTGAATTAGTTGTTGAATTAATTATAAATACATAAAGAAATTTAGCTCAAAAGTAGCTCAAACATTAACAGTAGACGGCGTTGTTTGTGGTTTGGATTGTGACGTTGTAGAAACCGGTGGAGCAGTTAGCGTTAGAGGAGAGGGTGGAGAGGAGGCGGTTGAGGTTGGACTGGAAGGTGGAGTTTGGGGTGAAGGTGGTGGTGTTTGGGCAGAAGTGAGCCAGGTAATCAGCTTCTGAACTGGTCGGAAAGCTGAGTAGAGTAAAAACGGAAGTAATCAAAAGAAGGGTAATCATGTTTTTAATTTTTTGATGATTGATCATAAAATCATAGGTTTTTTGTATTGAGTATCAACAAAAGCAATGCAAGAGTGGTAGCTTGACTTTCAGTCTTGAGTGTTCACCAGAAGTGCTCATCTCCTACAACCGGATTTGGATAATTCTAGAGAGATTAAATTTGTAGACAAAATTTTACAAATTAAACGACATAGAAGTTAATAATTGGATTATGACTTAAGCATTGATAATGTACTCATTCATATTGATGACACATTATTTAGTTTGTAAATTTTATCTACAAACTTAGTTTTCTTAGAATTACCCGGACTTTTGTTTCAATGCCATTATTGTTTAATAAGTGCTTGCAACTTGTTTAAAAGTTGCACTATTTTGTCCAATGACCAATTGTTTAGTGGTGAATTGGTATAAAAACAAAGGTGATTTTAGAGAGATTAAACTAAATAATATGATTGTTGATAATTGAATTATGTTGATTAACGAACTTAATTTTTACTGATGACACGTCTTTTAATTTACAAATTTAGTCTCTCTAATATTATCTTTTGATTAAGCCCACCTTGTACTTACTTGTGTACGTAAGAATGGTTTAGGTCAGCTGATATACCTATAACCTGTGTTTGACGGTTTCTTTATCTTCTTTTGGTTTTTCAAAGTGATTTGTTCATGAATGAAATGTAGCCAAGAATTGACAGGAGTGTTTGAACCGGCAGACAAGGTTTGTCCTAAGAGTTGAGTTGATTGGAAATTTCAGCCAAACTGTCCTTGCCCTTTTTTCCTCCTCAAATATTCAACAATTACATCTTTGATTTTTTTTTCTTCCCCTTCTTTCTTATTACAAGGCTACTGTTCTTAAACTTGAACTTGGGTATAATGGGGCCGAAAGTGCCTTGACCAACCGACCTAATCAACTTCTACTATTGAACACGTTGAATTAATGCTTTCTAGACTTCTTTAGTTTTCAGAATCTTAGAAAAGGTTCCTCCTTTGTGGGTATGGGTTGAATCTCCTTTGATTACATGGTCTGGATTGAATCCTCTCTAGTTACCTACCCCTTTAAATTTTTGTGTCACATAATAAATTTACAATGTACTAAAATAATTATGGATTTGCAGAAAAGAACATAATCTTCGTTTTCTACTCTATGTACGTCTATACATTGTAAATAATACATGAAAAAAATAGCATGTAAAATTTGAGGAAGATGCTTGAAAATGATGGTTACGTTAATGAGTATCTAAATGTTTAATTCGGTTATTACAGACTAAAGGACTTATTAAACCGTGTCAATCACGTTATGTGGAAAATCAAGACATTGAAGAAATTTAGAATACATATTACATTTGCATCTTTGATGTTTTCAATCCTAACAATGGTCGATCATCATAGGAAACGAAATTCTAACAAATAAATATAAACAGATACAAACAATCTGAGCACTTGCAAAAGTTTATGTGATTTATTATCATATAAACAGAAATTCCGGGTATAAATTCTTAGTGCACAACGTTCATCTTTTTAAGAACGGATGATACCATGTTGGTGCATTTTGTTATGGTCTAAAGAAGGTTGTATATATAAGCAGATATTACAATCTGTAACAATATTAGCTTATCTATTCACACTATCTAGCGTATACTTTAGTGATAGATCCTTCATAAACAGACGGAGATGACTTGCTGATAGATTGAGCGGAGTCCAGCGTTGCCTCTGACATGTTTCCCACTGCTCTACTTCGGAGGAAAAATGTCGGTTGTTGAGGTAATGGCATAGTAACAGAGTAGCTATTGAGCATGAGAATTACTGATTGCATTGTAGGCCTGTCAGTTGGATTTTCCTGAAGACAAAGTAAGCCGATGTGGATGCATCTGATTACTTCAATCCTCAAATAAGAGTCTCTTAGACATGGATCCAACAAATCCAAAGGTGTCCCGTCTCTCCATAACTTCCAAGCCTGCATAAAATTCAAAAGTTTAACACATGATGCTATGTCAATGCAGGAGAACAGAATACTAATTCATTTTGGGCCTACATGGCTCATGAGGTCCTCGGCTGGATCCGTCTGAAAGAAGTAACTGTTCTTCTTGCCACTGATGATTTCTAGCACTAAAACACCGAAACTATACAGATCGGACTTGACAGAAAAATGTCCGTGCATTGCATACTCAGGAGACATATAACCACTACAAGGAGCATAAAATCAGTATAGAAATTATAACAAAGATGTAACGAGAAAACATTTTAGATTCAATTCGATAATTGCAAAGCAAAAGTGGTTGTGAGAAAAAATGAAATAGGTAACTTACAATGTTCCGACAATTCTATTTGTGTCTGCTTGAGTTTGATCAACCCCAAAGATCCTGGCCATGCCAAAATCAGATATTTTTGGATGCATCTCCCCATCTAACAATATATTGCTGGCTTTGAGATCACGATGTATAATTCTAAGTTGGGAATCTTCATGCAGGTACATGATTCCTCGAGCAATTCCTGAAATAATCTTGTAACGTCTTGACCAATCCAATTGTCCTTGTTTCTCAGGGTCTGCAAACCATAAAAATCCAGTTATCATCGACGCATATAGTACTGCTATTGCAATAGGGAAAGACAATCAGATGTTTGAGTGTACAAACCAAATAGGAAATAATCAAGGCTTTTGTTGGGCACAAATTCATAAACAAGAATCTTTTCTTCGCCTTCCAAGCAAAATCCCAAGAGCCTAACCAAACTTCGGTGCTGAAGCTTGGCTACCAATACCATCTCGTTCTTAAACTCTTCTGCGCCTTGGCCAGAGTCCCTTGATAACCTCTTCACAGCTACTTCTTGACCGTTTGAAAGTATACCCTGCGAGAAAACATCAATCAAACAATGGAATGTCCACTCAAGGCATTCATGGACAGCTTCTGAGGCTCCAAAATTATTCAGATTTTGCATGCACAAAAGTTTGAACTTTGCGGACCTGAAGGAGCACTCATATCATATACCGACTAACATACCTTGTAAACTTGACCGAAACCACCTTCGCCTAACTTGTGATCATCGGAGAAATTGCTCGTGGCTGCTTGGATAGTAGTAAAATCAAATTGCAAAGACTCGACAGTAGTAATGTCATTCTCACCTGCACAACCAACCAAGCCATAGAAGCACAGTGTTTATAGACGATGAATAAATGAAAGGAGAATCAATGAGAATAAACAAAAGGAGAAGTGGAGAAGGATATATTTTCTACCGCTTGGTTCGTCTGCTGCTGCTTCATTGTACTTGTATTTTGCTCTCCTAGTTATGCAGCAGTAACCCACAACAAAAAGTAGCACAGATACAGATATTGGTACAACAATGGCAACAACTGTACTAGTTGGGGTTTTGCTTTTTCCTGCAAAATAAATAAAAAGTATTGAGAAATGGGTAAAATCAGCAGCCACAGCACAACACCATATTCCCCTGTTCCAAAGTCCACAATAGCTATCAATTACCTAACAAACTAATCTGATAATACAATAATCACTTGATTGGGTCTTCTAAAAAGGTTAGAAACGTTTTGTAACAGTTCGCTTTTCCGACAACATTTGGGAGAAAAACTTAAACTACATAATAGAAGCACTTTTTCGAAGAAGTACATGCCTAGAAGCACTTATTAGAGTTTTAATGAAAGCATTTCAAGCAAAAATGCTTATAAGCAGAAGCGTCAGTCACGGTTATACCCTTTACACTCAAATTTGAACCCCTTTTCTTATATGATATCGCTCGAATAAAATTTCAACAAATTGATATTTGCTTAAACTTTAAAGTTGTCAACTTTAAAAATTAAATTTGAATTGAAGAATTGGTCACTTTACCTTTAGGCGGAGGAGGGAGAGGAGGAGGAGGCGGCCCTGGTGCAGGCTCAGGTGCTGACGTGGCGTTCTGGGCGTAGAAGAGGTAGACTTCGTACCTAATATTACAACTCGGAAACACGTATCGTCCTCCGATTCTCCCATAACAGCAACCCGGAAGTAGGGCTATGGTCCTCCGAAGACAGCGGTTGCAATCCGTTGCCGACAGGTCCTGCGTGCACTGCCCGAGGCTGTACACTGAAATCAACCCAGTAACATTTGCCCGACTCGTCCCAAACTTGTAGGCGTCTCCGACAGCCTCACTGGCCGCCTGGTTCACACTCGCCTCTACGACCTGGTTGAACCGAGTCGGGTCGGTGGCGTTCACCGTGTTCCGCATGGGAAAGCTGGGCCAATCGGTGACGGTGGAGAAGAATGACTCGTTGGAGTAGCGTAGCATGCACTCGTCGTACCAGATCACCACCTGTTTTTCTACGGGGCAGCGTTGTCGGGCCAAGGCGGTTGCGTTGGCTACACAGGTTTCGCAAGCGTCGGTGCCCACGATGTCACCGCGGCAGAGGAAGAGGCCGTAGACAGCGTTGTTTGTGGTTTGGACGGTGACGTTGTAGAAGCCGGTGGAGGAGCGGTTGGCGTTGGACGATAGGTTGGAGAGGAGCTGGTTGAGGTTGGACTGGAAGGTGGAGTTTGGGGTGAAGATGGTGGTGTTTGGGCAGAAGGTGGATAGCCATACTGCTTCCGTACTGGTGAAAAAGCTGGGCAGAGTAAAAATGGAGAAAATCAAAAGAAGGGTATTCATGTGTTTCATATATTGATGATTGATCATACAATCATAGGTTTTTATAGGGAGTTTTAATAAAACATTTTCGATATTATTTATTTTTAACTAAATATCATATTTTTAGTTTGAAAAAATTTATTTAAACCTATCTAATCTATTTTTACATTCAACTTACTCTCTTTACCCATATTCTTTTTTATTAAAGAATTAATATATTTTTAAACCCAAATTTATTCCCTAAACTACTCTCTCAAATCCAATTTAAAATGTAATATTATCTTTATACTCATTTCCTTTATAAAATAACATCTCTAATTGAATGTTTTTTTTTTTTTTTCAAAGATGCGTCATTTGCCCCCTCTATAATTGCATATGCCGTATAGGACTAGCATTACCATGGTTGCTTTTTTTCTTTTTGCTACCACAACCCATCCATGGACTTGGGATCCAAGAGATCATTCCATAGACTTGAATTTGCCAAGAAAATGTTATGCAAGCTCCAGTTCAGTCCTTCTTAAATCGAGCATTTTCATGTACTTTTTGGGACTCATACATGACACACCCCGACCCGGAATGTCCACTAGAATCGAGTCGTGCTGGCCGACACCAGCTGGGTATGCTATCGCGTGTGTTCCCAGAAACAAAACCGTGAGGGTGTGATAGGGGCCCAAAGCGGACAATATTGTGCTACAGTGGAGTTTAGCCTGGGATGTGATGGGAACCTGGGCTGGGATGTGACAATACAGACAGTAGAGAAAAACAAATAAAAGTATGAAATTTAATCCAAAGAAAAAGCAAACAAACAAAATATCCATAAATCGAGTTATACCTTAGTTGGAGGATTAAAAACTTCAAAATCACCATACATAAATAGAAAAGCTTGTTTTTCTCTATCAGAGCTATTAGGGTTTTACTTGAAATGAACATAGGATAAACAAAGGGTGATGCTATGGTTTGATTAGAGTATGTGGGTCTATTGATAAATTTGATTTTTATTATTAATTTTATTTTGTACTTAATAGTAATTATGCAATAGGGTAAAATAGATAATTAACATTTAAAATTTAAGTTGGGTGTGAAAAGAGGTTAGATGAGTTTAAATAAAATTTTCCTTTTACCTTGTTATGGTACTATTCATTACACCGTTATTTGTTCTTTTTTATTAAAACTAAAGTTTTTTTGAATTTTTCGTTAGTTTTTCTATTTTTAATATTGAGTATCAACAAAAGCAAAGCTGGGTTGGTAGCTTGACTTTCAGTCTTGAGTGTTTGCCAGAAGACATGTAGACAAAATTTTACATATTAAACAACATTGAAGTTGATAATTGAATTATGACTTAAGCATTAATAACGTACTTATTTTTATTGGTGATATATCATTTAGTTTTAATAATATGTCACTAATAGGAAATAAACACATTAATCAACATATTTCAATCATTAACAACCACGTCATTTAATTTTTAAAAAATTAATTTAAAATTTAGATTTTCCTAACGTCAGCTGACCTTTATTATTTGTTGTTTCACATTAAATATGAGTTGGTGTTGAAGCTATCTCAGTGGGTCGTTGTCTTTATCATCAAATTCATAGTAAAAGCAAACAAAGGGAGAGATATAAAAATAAAAAATAGTAGTTTGAAGCAAAGTAAAATGCAATGGGGACGGGAGTGGTAGAATGTGACGCCAGACTCGGCAGTTTTGTATGGGAAATTCCAGCTTGGTGTGGATTTTTCTAAGGATTGTTTAGTTCTAGCATGATGGAACAAAAAGTCCTGAAAAAAATTAGAAGTTCCTTAAACTTCAAGAGTAAGACATATTCAATAACTAAAAGTATAACACTCATTTCATGCGTATCGAGAACTCTCATGCAACAGGATGTACTATAGTAATTTCTCATTCATCACCATGTGACAAGGTTAAAAACTTAAATATAGAACAATGTATTATTAACTTGAAAAATCCCGACAATAACATTTTTTGTAGTAATTTTCTCTTGTCATCATGGCCCATTAAGTGTTAAATTTGGCCAATTGAGAGATGCAGCCCCACTTAATGGGGCCGCTACACTACTAGGTTGTTCTCCCTTGTACCCCATCATGTGATAAGTCATTTCAAGATGTTCGTATTATATACATGTTTGCAATGGTGAAGGCAAAATTTTCAAATAAAGTCTTAATTTCAACAAAAAAAAAAAAAAAAACCTTCAATGGGCCATTTCGTCGATTACCTAGTCGGTAGCAATGTTGAAGACTACCAATGTTTGTCAATTGAGGCATTTCATCGAGTATTTGGTTGGCACAATAGAGTCGCATACAAGAAGAGAGAAAATAAAGACATGGATGATAAAAGAAAACAAAATTAAAAGGAGAAAGTTATGATTTAGTTTGTCATAACTATTTATAGGGGTCAATACAAATACGCTGTCAAATATACATAAGAATTTAAAAAATGTTAAGATCATAAGCAATCAATGACCCCATTTGAATTCTGCGATTGCATGTTTGTACTTTAAAATAACCGCTAGCATTCACCTGAGAAAAAAAAAACATACATATTATTAGCCAAATTCATATCGGTGAAAAATAAAAATTGCAGTGTTGGAAAAAATAACTCAAACTTTGCAATCTGAAAAGTCACGGCGGATAGTCTTTATGCCGTTGAGTCTAAGGTCCATCAACTTTAATTTTCCGTGTTGACAATCTCACTAGATATGTCACTATCTTAGTCAAATACGTACAAAAAACGAAAACGAAGGACGAACTGACCAAGAAATTGTATAAAATTTCGAAAGAATTAAGTATAAATTTTGTAACGAGGGAAACACCGAAACGAATGGAGACGTAAGTGTCAAAAGGGATACCATATAATATAATACATAAACTTTCAACAACAATATAATTACATAAGGAAAATGCTAGAGAGAACAAAATTTAAATCAAATTTAAAAATTAAATAATATGTCATTATTAGAAAATAAGCACGTTAATTGATACTTAATTAAAAATTCAATTATTAATAATCACATCATTTGGTTTACACAATTTAGTTTTATAATTTGACCTTCCTAGCATTATCAATTTTATAAAATTTGTTGATGAGACTTGTTCTGTTGGTCTTCGATAAATATAATTTCGTGTTTCTTCCCTTATTATTGTTGCTTGTTATGTTTTCTTTTGGGCTCCTCGACCCTTTGGCCTTTTCTGTTCGTAAGGGTGGAGTTGGAAGTTTATCATCGAGTAAACTAGTTTAAAGATTTGAATCTTTAAAACCAAAAAAAAAAATTGACAATGTATGTTTCTAGCTGATAAAAATTTCACATGTATTTTTATCAAACAAATATGTATTAAAATTCAAACAAAGCAATACAAAACTTATTTTTTTTCTTGAATCAGACATTAATACTTGTGCTTTCGCAGTTATTGGCGCAGACTACGCCAAAGACTATCTCAGTCAAATTCGTTGGAGAAACGTAAACGAAGGGGACGAACTGAACAATAAATTGCGTAAAATTTCAAAAGAATCAAGTATAAAATTATTACAACATACGACAGGATGGAGACGCAAGTACCAAAAGGCTAACATATAATATATTATTAAACATGAATTTTCAACAATAATATAATTACATAAAATCTGTTGATTTGATGCTGATGAGATTTGTTCCGTTGATCTTGGATAAATATAATTTATGTTTCTTCCCTTACTAAAGATTTGAAACAAAGAAACTTGACAGCGTCTATGTTAAACTGTATTAATTAGCTTAAGAAAATTATCACAGGTTGAGCCTAAGTTTTTTTTCGTTATTAACTAAATATGCGTTAAAATTCAAAAAAATCAAACTTAAAATACATATGTACAAGAAGCTGAAAAAGGTATAAGAAAAAAAAAAGATGTTTGTAAATTGTACTATATAATTTATTTAATTAAAATGAGAGAATTAAGATTGGTGCCTAAATATACGATGGACTACAATTGCAAAATAATGAAAATTACATGTAAATGTTTTTTTTTTTTCCGCTGAAAGCTCTTATTCCTGCAAGAAACTTGCATTGAACCGAAATATTATGTGACGAGTGCTGTGAAAATGTGTGAATATAGATTTCGTTGGCATCCAAACTCGTCGTATGTAAAATAAGTGCTTTACAGTAATTTGAGATTGGACTTACACATTCCATATACAGTTAATCGTCTCTAAGTTCAGTTAATGGATTCCAATGATCTATGTCGTTATCTCTTGCTGAACGGGCCACAACAATAGAAATCGTCAAGCCATTGACCGAGCAATTGTGAGCACTTCCTGCTACTTGATCATGATGATCAATACATCTCCCTGTAAAGAAGGCTAGTCCCTCAGGTTTAGAAAGACTAATGGTTTCACTTTTCAACATAAGAACAACTGATAACATGGTCGGCATGTTGTTTACATCTTCTTGAACACACAATAATCCGATATGAACGTACCTCAGGAATTCATTTGGACTGCATGAGCCTTTCAACAACGGATCCATCAACTCCAACACTTTCCCTGCATTCCGAAATTTCCAAGCCTGCAATTATAATTTCATGCTAATTAAGAATGTAGTGATATATTGATTATGATTTTCTATATACCTACATTAATTTATTTGAGATATTTTGTATAAGCTAACTCAAGTAAAGACTTTACATACGTAGCCTATAAGAGTCGGTGCACCATTTGTCAGATGAAAACCCAAAAAGTTCTTTCTCCCCGTTATGATCTCAAGCAAAAGTACTCCGAAGTTGTATACATCGGATTTTATTGAATACAATCCCTATATTGCATACTATGGAACCATGTAACAACTGAATTGCAAAAATAGATAAGAATTGGAATATGTAAGATAAATTAACTTGTCATGCCCCAATCCCAATATATGTCCACGATCGACATGTGACGTCACCACATCCCTATTTATCTATCGGTGTTGTTGGAGTGGGTCCTCGGCCCGTCAACCTAAAAAATTCTACATGGTATTAGAGTCAGGTGACGGGCTCGT